TCCGAACTTCTTCTCCATGAAATCGCCAAATATAATAATCTTCCACAAATCCCCTTCGAAATAGATGTTTACAAACATCTTCTGTACTGCGATACTTAAAATTGCGACAACTTGTACATGGACATAGCATTTTTCCACGTTCTTGACACAACGGCTGCATAGAAACAAAATTCATGTTAGAATATTTCGAACGTTATAACGTTCGACTATTTCCAACGGATATCCGTCGGAATTATTACCGCGTTTCGTAACGTTCGAATAATTTCAACGGCAATCCGTTGAAATTCGTCAAACGTTATTTCCAACGGAAATCCGTTGGAATATACGTGGAAAATTTCCAACTCAAATATCCGTTGATATGCCGTTGGAAATTGCCAACGGATTTCTAACGGATGAATCCGTTAGACGTCCGTTGGAAATCCGTTAGAAATGCGTTGGAATTATTCCAACGGGAATCCGTTGGAAATCCGTTGGAAAATTTGCAACGGATGAATCCGTTGGAAAAATCCGTTGGAATTTCACAGTTTTTTTGTAGTGATCATGTACGCGATGTTGTGTACTCGTTTGGATGTATCATATGCATTGAGTATGACTAGTAGATATCAGTCTACACCAGGTGAGGCTCACTGGATTGCGGTCAAGAACATCCTTAAATACTTGAGAAGGACTAAGGATTTGTTCTTGGTGTATGGCGGATTGGAAGACGAGCTCGCTATAAGTGGTTATACCGATGCTAGTTTCCAAACCGACAGAGATGACTTCAGATCGCAGTCAGATTACGTTTTCTGCCTGAATGGTGGGGCTATTATTTGGAAGAATTCCAAACAGCCAACCGTTGCAGATTCGACTACAGAAGCCGAGTACATAGCAGCATCGGATGCAGCTAAGGAAGCTGTTTGGATCAGAAAATTCGTGGGAGACCTGGGCATCATTCCTAGCATTGCAAATCTCATTGAGTTGTAATGTGACAACAATGATACGATCGCACAAGCTAAAGAACCTCGGTCACACCAGAGATCCAAACACATACTCAGACGATTTCACTTGATCAGAGAAATCATCGACAGAGGAGACGTGAATATAAGCAGAGTGTCGACAGATGATAATATTGCCGACTCGCTGACGAAGCCTCTCCCTTCGTCAAAGCATGATGGTCATGTTATGGGTATGGGGATTAGATGCTTGTAGGATAGATATTAGAGCATAATGGGAGATTGTTGGTTGTAATGCTCTACGATGATCCGTAATATGACATTTTGACTATGTATTGATTCATTGGTTTATGAATGCATTACTTTTCCCGTTATATGATTGGATGTTTGTTATGTTTCGGTAGATATCCATGAATCATTGCAGATGATTCTAAACTCCCTGGCCAATTGTTATTGTGGGAACAATGATGAATTAAGACCAGCATGATGTGTGATTGATGATGATCATATGCATTGGATGCAAATCACAATCATGGGTACTCGTTTGGAACGAGTGACTGGATGACCCGCATGAGATCGTCATATGGACATGAGTCATGACTTGAATCTCATACAGTGGTTCTTCTTAGATCCTCAGACCTGAGATGTCTAGAGTATCTGATATGAGGAGTGGCGTGTCTTGACTGCGTCAAACGTCGTCTTTAACCGGATGATCATAATGGCGTTGCTCAGATACGTTCACGAATCATATGTATATAGTAGACATGCAATACGGGACTTGTCACCTCCTAAGCAGGAGAGATGTCGCTGGACCCCTCGTGAAAATCGGACTGTGAAAATGCGTGGCCGGTATAGATGAAGTTACATCTATTTTGTCAGTCGATTTGCCAAGACGGATAAGCGGTTGAACTTGAAGGGTGGCTCAAACCATACCCTTGTTCAACATATGACATCGTGAGACAAAAGGATCAGAACTCGAACTATTGTTGGCTATATTAGATCACCTCTAACTCTATTCTAGGTGGGTAGTCATGGCGTCTTGCTAGAGGGTGGTTCGGAAAAGAGTTTCCGAAGCCACTACCACTTCGAATGGGCCTACAGGATCACAAAGCATTAGGGATGGATCACACGTGAAGAGAACGACGCGAGAAGGAAGACAGAACGAGCTGGAAGGGTTCCAAACAGTCCAGCCGTGTCAGTCCGTCCGTTCTGTTGAGGAATAGACTGACCGTTCCGCAAGGGCTAGACTGTCCGGTCCAGACATGCAGAACGACCGTTCTGCGAAGAAATGGACCGTCCGTTCCGCGTAGGGTCAGACCGTCCGGTCCAGACCTAGACCAGACGGTCCGACTTTCGGGAAAATTTCCTTTTCGCGAATTTTAGGGTTTAGACAATCATATTAATCATGAGAGCCACCACAAACCCTAGGTAATCAACCTAACACGTCCTAGACACTTCCTAGAGCCTTGGAGAAGCTTTCTCTTGAGTTCTAAACCCCGGAATATCGATTCCAAGTCAATGACGTTGTTTTCTCTTCACAAATCCTAGCATATACGTTCCAACGTGTTGGAATTCATCCCGCCGGTGTGGATACGTGTAGAGGAGTTGTACTTTCAACTCTTGGTGATTAAAACATACCCTGGAACGAGGTAAGTATTCAAATCCCACAGTGATATACACATTCTTTCGGGTTATTGCACAATTGGTTTTGTGTGACTTTGGCTAGGTTTAGATCTTTTTCTTCCGTTGCATAAAACCTAGAAACCAAACCCTAGATCAATGAGATCGCATGCTAGGAAACCCAACATAAATACATATTAGATAGAGGAGAAAGAGATTATGCAGAAGTTTCAGAAAGGGTTAGAGGTTGTTTGGGGGATGAGAGTTGAGATCCTCGCATAAATCAAGATCATTCAAAGTTGTATTCAGGTTTCGGTGAGGAATAAAGTCTCGATTTGTGTTTGAAAGTTGTGTTTCAGATTTTGAACCTTAACAGATTGGTATCAGAGTACGTCTGAACCATGTCAAAGATGGATGAACTGTTGAAGCAGTGTTCGAAAATGGTTTACCTGGTGAAACAATGCTCGCGAAGTGAGTCGATGGAGTAGATGCTGTCGAAGTTGTGTCGGTTGTTGGATGCTGATCAGGATTGCCAGAATTTTTCTCCAGATTCGATGTCGCCGCTAGCAACAGGAGTCGACAGATCGCAAATCAATCGTGACCCAGATACGAAAGTCGATTGCGGACAAGCATCAAATATTCTTCTTGAGGTTCGAGAGGTGATTCTGCAGTCGAAAGAGGAAGGCGATGCACAGTAACACGAGCGATTCATCGGAAACAACGATTCACACCACAAGGTGATGCCGACCGCGTATGGGCTAATCATGACCAGAACATGTTGATCGATAGCGACAAAGTCCTAAAGTGTCCGACAGCAGCTGGGTTTACAGATTTATGTGATGAGAGACTACATAACAAAGCTCTTTCATATCGATTCATCAGGAAGACTGGTTCACACATGAAAAGAAGACAATTCCGGTGTTCGATGACAACTTCATTCTGGAATGGGATATTAAAATTGAAAGGTACTTTGGATTTGGTGATTGTAGTGACAAGGAGATGTTTTACCTAGATTTTACAAATTTGGGTGGAGAAACTCTGATGTTGTTCAATGGCCAGAAAAAAATTGGGAAGTGTCATGATTAAAAAAAATTTTTAGACTCTTATTATATGATCGTTGTGGCACGTATAAAGCTTAGGAAAAAGACATGTGATGATATAATCCTTAGTGGAGTTGTGTTTCAATAAGAGAAAGGGATATTTCTACAGTTTGGATTGAAAATTGCGGAAGCATACCATTGGAAACGAGTTTCAGCCAGCTCCGAATCCAAAACAACTTTTGGCAAACTTAGAATGGTTAGTGGAGCTTGAGCATATTTTAGACCGCCATTATGAGATCCTCTCATAAACCAAGATCATCCAAAATTGTATTCAGGTTTCGGTGAGGAATAAAGTATTTTGTGTTAGAAAGTTGAGTTTCATATTCTAAACCTTAACAGGAAATTTGGACATGGAACAGTGCCGGTGTTTGCAAACTCTCTACAGAATAAATTTTCTAACCAAAAGATTTATCAGGAACTGAAAAATAAAATGTATTGTTAAAGCTTCAGACCGTCAGAGATGCACCGTTATCCGCTGCCGTAAGGTTCAGAATCATCGTCGCAGCTTTAACAGCCCTGTCACATTGACAAGCCCCAAACAGGGTTTTGAGTAATTGATGGGACTGAGAACATATTGGTGATCTATCAATTTTTCATCATTTCAAGAACCAAACACATACATTTTCTTGAATTAAAAGTAAAACTGTTGAGCAATGCATTTATACGGAAATGCAGAACATGAACAAAAGGGTTGGTAGACCAATGATATTTCAATACATGCCAACAAGAAACCATAGAAAATCCACGAGTAAGGTAAAAAAAACTTTTGATTAGTTGAGGAGGTGAGGTGTGTGCTTACCAGGTATCTGGTGCTTGGTATAGGGAAGCTGAGTTGCCGAAGCACGAAGCAAGCATGTCTGTGTTGATCACACCTGGGTTAAGTGCAACCACTGCCATTCCTTCAGGTACCTCCTTCGCCACTGCTCTGCTCAAACCTTCAACCGCCCATTTTGATGCACAGTAAGGTGCAACCTTAAGGGATAAAGTTCGGTTTCAAAGATCAGTCCCACTGGAAAATCGGGTATGATATGCCAAAATCAAGATGCTGGAGATTTTCAGAGAATATAATCCTATACGAATCCCAAGTTCTTGCAGAATCTGAGTGCCAGTTTCTTGTCTAAAATCAATAGAATAATGGCAGGAAAATACATAAACAACACGACCGTTGGCCAATTGAATGATGACAAGTATCTCAAAGTTGTGGGGATGTGGCCAACCGATGGTGATTTGATTTATGGTTGCACAGCTATACGAATTCAAGAGCTTCTACACCAAAATCAAGGAAAAAAAATTATAGAAGCTCAAGCAGATTGGAAAGGACTCAAAACATCTCTTCTATATTATGGAAAAGTCAAGTTCAGGTTATTACATAATTCCAATACCAAATACTTCATGTTTTTCTTTCACTACCTAAATTAGGAAAGATGAAAGTCCAGAGGCGGCCATAGGTGCCCCTTTCACGTGCCTCCACCTGATGCATGAGACGGCCGCCTCTAATAATTGAACCGTGAACAGAAGAAATCACCGAGAAACGGAGTTGAAGATGAAGTGAAGGCCAAGGAATGGAAGAAGATGAACAAGAATGAAAGGAGTTAGACTGTGAGAAGACGTGAAGAGAAATTTAATAATTTTAACTATTTAATTTGTCAGTGGAGTCCGTCTCTAAAAATATTAGCAATGAATTTCTCAAACAAATTTTGGAAAAAATATTAAAATAATAATACAATAATATTTAAAATATTTATCAATACTTATATTTAAAATTTTAATGTAAAAAATTAGTTATTATAAATCATCATAAAAATCTATTAATAATTAAATCTATATTATAAATTCATTATAATTTTTAACACTATTGTTAAGTATTAGAAAAACAAAATGAGTGAAAAACGAATTATATTTATTCGGTCAAACTCCAAATAAATTTGGGATTAAGACTGAGGTCAAAATATTATAAAAAAATGTGAATTTTTTAAATAATTATTATTTTATTGGTTAATATTGTCCTATAGTGTTTTAAAATTTAGTTAGACAACATTAATCTTAACATTATATTGCCATATATTACAATAAATTTAATAATTTTTTAAAAATAATTCAATTTTTATTTATTTAATATTATTCTTCTAAAGTATTTTAAAATTTAGGTTGGCAATATTTTAAATTAAAAAAAGTTATGACATAGTTTCAATTAAAATGTAATATAAATTAATAATTTTTTTATTTAAAAGATGTGCCTCATGTCCAAAAGGCGTGGGTTTGCGTGTGGCTTCGCCTTGCGCGTCGGGTTTAAAGAGCTCTTTCGCCTAAATGCTTATCTCACTTTTGAAAACTAAAGATATGGTAACAGTTCGCGAATTAAGGAAGTGGATGATTAGAAATCACCAGGGCGGCACCAGATCTTCCCCATCCAGAAGACATGTTTACGATGATTCCTTGCTTGTGTGGGATCATCAATGGGATGAAGTGGCGCAGCACGCTTGCTATCCCTTTAACGTTTGTATCAATAACAGCATCAAATTCCTCTACAGGGACATCCCAAATCTTGTTGTTCTTATTGATAGTGCCAGCATTGTTAACTGCAAATTACATAACACTGCAATGTAAGACAGTATTTCCCAGAAACAAAGGAAAAACAGAGGCAAAATACTGTATTCAATAACAACCAGAAGATGCAATAGACACTGATCCTGTATCTGTCAAGAGAACAGAAGAAATTCTTGCATCCCAACAATGAAAACAATCAACATTGACAGCGGGGTGAAAAGGGCCTAATTCTATATATCCGGGAAACAAGGAAGAACTGAATACTCATCTACATGCCATGACAGTGTTTATCCCCAGGTAAGAATGAGAGGGAAATATCAAGAACTTTGGAACAAGTATCGCTTGGCACCACACAGAATCTATTTGGCATCAAAGAACATCTACGACTGTAATTTCCCTAATCCTATAAGCATACTAACTCAGCAATCATTTCCTAATTCAAAGAGTCAAAACCAAGAGCAATTCTCATGGTGATTGTTCACTTCAGCCAAGAGCAGAATTTTCACTGAGAAAAAGTTGTCAACATCTTCAACTTAAAAAGGACACACAACTCTTTACACGCATTGTCTGATAATTTCTAAAAAACAGCAGAATACCATGGAATTACAGTTAAACAAAAAAGAAAACCTACACCTAGAGATCAAGTTAACATCCAAAAGCAATACAATCACAGCCATTCTCATGGAAATAAGGAACAATGAATAGGTTTAGCGTAGCAAGGATATTCATGAAATCATTATGAAAACGTGCACAAGGATGTGGAAGTAATTTTCAGAGTGGGAAAGTTCAACCTTGTAACCACAAAGTGTCATGAACAGATTTAAATACCTATGATATCTGGGACACACTTCTTTTCCACAACTGCACGCGCCAATTCTTCCACACTGCTGTTAGATTTCTACAAACATATGGCATAAATCCTGTTAGCTTAGCTTTACAACATGCTGCATATATAGAAGCTCAGGGTAGATCAAAGAACAAGCCACACATTTATCAAAGGATCAACGCAGGGATTGCGAATATGCACAAATACATTATTACATTCACAGAAGTAGGAATGACTGAAGTAAACACATAGAGAAGCCAGTAATCATTTTAAGACATAGCTCAAAAACATCAGACCTAATTCAAGAAACTGCTCAAACTTTCGGAATTTACTTTGACAAACACATTTCTATAGGTAGACCCAACGATTGAGCCAACAAAACAAGGTAAAATGCCAAACTACGCCTAGATAACCAACAGATTACCACCAATCATAAACAGAGGAAATCAAAACCCAGAGTAAAATTCTCAATTTCAGATCGTCCAACATCAATCCTCAACCATTGATTGAACAAAGCCTTCTAAGATTACCAACAATTTCTTCCATTACAAAGACCACAACGCAGATTGAACTCACACAAACACGGAAGGACTCAGACATGAGAGACAGATTCAAAGAGAGCAATTACCAGATCGGCGGTGAGAAAGAGATGCTTTGCAGGGGACGACAGCTCGGATTCAAGAGCGGAGAGCTTCTCCTGAGACCGAGAGCATCCGATGACAGTATGGCCTCTCTTGTCGAGCTCGAGAGCTAGGGCTCTGCCGAGGCCTTTGCTCACTCCAGTTATGAGGACGGTCCTCGCCGCTGTGAAAGAGTTCACAGCGCCAGAGAAGGGCGTCGCCGTCGACATAGTTCGCCGTCTCAGCCGCCGGTGGGATTCCCAGGTGAGAGGTGAGAAGAAGAAATGTAGTAATTCTTTTTTAAATGAAGCAAAGCGCCGGCAATGTTACAGGTAGGGCCGTAGGGTTGGATTCCAGAATGTACGAGCAACTACATCTCTGTTCGCTTCGATATTATATACGGCATAAAATTAATGATATCCAGTATTTCGGTATTTTTTTATAATTTTTTTATTTAGAAATATTAAATATTGATACTTGTTAATAATATTCATTTTGTGTATATTTGATGAACACAAGAATAATATTTATTGAATCTCGTAAAAGCACATTAACATTTTATTAATTTATTTTTTTATTATATTAAAATTATCAAAATAAACCCAAAAAAATATCGTCTAAAAAATATTAACTTTTTAAATTTAATAAATAAATATATAAATTTCTAATTTTATATAAAAATAAACAATAATTTGATACAAATTTTATAATATTAAATAAACAGTTTTTGAACTGATCTTAAATTTTTGAGTCAAAAACCTAGCGGTAGTTAGGTTGGATTCAATATGTATCACATGACATCTTCATATTTTTTTCTTTTTTATAAAAGGATAAAAAAACAAATTTATTTTTTCTTCTTTTTATTTGAAAATGGAGAAATTATTCTTATAAAATCATTTAATTTAGATTAAAAAAAATTAAAATTATTGAATTCATATATAGTTTTCTTTTTTTGCCTAACGTATATTTTTAGTTTTGTTTCTAAAACAATCTTATATCGACTGTATAGAAAAATATTCAAGAAATAAAAAGTAATACAAGTGGACCAAACATAAAGTCATATTAAATTAAAATTATACGCTACTTTTTTCCAAATTTTGAAAGCATTATCGTCAAATTAAAATTTAAAATTATTTAGATAATAATTAAATATTCTAAATAAAAATGAATCAAACAAATCAAATAGAATTTAGACAAAAAAAACGGATTAACGGTTTACAAAAAATATTGACCGCTCATTTATTTAAGAAAAAATATCTAAAAATTTCTAAATTTGTAATTTGATTTAATATTAATTCATGAACTTGTAGATGCACTTATTTATTCCCAAACTTGCATTTTTTAACACAGTAATTACTGAACTTACTTAACAGTTCAATAATCGTCCATACCACTAATTGATTAAAGCAAAGTTTAGAAATTATTGTGTTCAAAAATGTAATTTTAGGAATTATTGTATTAAAAAAATTGCAAGTTCAGGAATTAATGTGTTAAAAATACAAATTCGAGAATAAATAGACGCACCTACAAATTCAAAAATTAATATTACACCAAATTACAAATTTAGAAATTTTCAGATATTTTTTTCTTTATTTAAAGACAAAATTGATGATAACTCTGCGTGATAAGTTTTAAATTTGTAATCCGACAAACAACATATCTGCAGATATACGGATATCATAGTTACGAGATCGATCACAACGACTTATTTGATATAAAGTTAAACTCGACTAAAACTAGGTGAAGAAAGAATCAAAATGGTAATAAATGTATTGTTCTAGATTTTAAAGTGAACAAGTAAAGTAAGATGGAGAACAAAGTAAATGAATGTAAATAGGATGAAATCTATAAGATGAATTAGTGGATTTCAAAAAATCATCTAACATGAAAAGGATGTAACTAAGGATAGGGATAGTGATCCTATAAACATTCTTCATCAAAAATTTGGGGACTCAAAGTCTAAAACCGGGTTCCATTCTTTCGAATCGAAACATCACTATTTAAAAAGTTGATCTATCTACTTTCGTATCCTAGAGAGAAAACTAAATGCATTAAATGTCATTGTCATAATCTTAAACTAAATGGAAACGATGCAAATACATCTGACAACCAACAATGATGTGAATAAGGGTCACTTATTATCAGAAAATCATCTTTTTGTCGCGTACTATGTTCTAATTCCATGTATTTCCCCAATTTCGCAGCATCCAAACCTAGGGATGACTGTAGGAAGAAACTAATGAAAGAATATCTCTTGATATCTCTTTTGTTATCATATGCCAATATTCTCTCTTAATCACTCCTTATTCTTTGCTATTTAGTTACTGTAATTCAGCTACATCAATTGTGTATAAGTATGGGTTGTATTCATCAATAATATTCAAGGTGAACTATATTCCAAACCCTAGATATCGTTTATGGTATCAGAGCACCTCTAAGTCTCACGACCATTTTTTTCAACCATTTGATCCCTTCCCTCGGCCGCCGCAATGTCTACTGACAACGCAAACTCCGACGGCTCAACTCTTCCCACCGACCCTATGGCACCCACCGCAAACACCGAGAACCTACCCTCTCATTTGGTAAACATCAATGTTACCAATATCCCCAAACTCTCGGCTACCAATTACTTAACATGGAGCCTTCAAATCCGATCCTTGCTCCAAGGTTATGACCTGCAGATTATCTAGATCTCGATCTCGATGTTCCTCCAACGATTCTCAAAAACAATGTGATAAAGCCAAACCCGACATACAACTCTTGGTTTCGCCAAGATCGTCTCATATTCTCTGCCCTTCTTGGATCCATCAATGTTTCGTGCCAAGCACTCATCGCGCGAGCCGACACAACAAGTGCTGCTTGGACCACACTCGCTTTGACGTATGGACGTTCCTCTCGAGGCCACATCAAGCAAATCAAGGACAATATGCGCCGCTTTACCAAAGGCACCAAAAAGATTGATGACTACATGCATTTCTTCAAGGTCAAGGGTGATGAATTGGCCCTCCTTGGTAAGCCTCTTGATCATGAAGACCTCATTCATTGATCTTGTGTTGTCCGGACTCAGTGATGAATACAAGCCCGTGATCGATGCAATCAATGCCAAAGCGACATTCCTATCTCGTTTATCGAGTTACACGAGAAGCTGCTCAATCATGAGTCAGTTCTCATGACCGCTGATCATGCTCCTTCTGTCTTCCCAATCTCGGCCAACAACACTCAAACGAGGAACTCTACTCCAGCCTATCGGCCGAATTGGCAGACTCAGTCATCCCAGCAAACCCAAAATCGGAAAGGCACCGGCTATCAGGGCAAGTGCCAGCTTTGTGGTACGTTTGGCCATAGCGCCAAACGATGCCACCTTCTTCCTCCCGGTGCTGTGATCAACAACAACCATGCACCATCATCGCCATCCTCTTGGCAACCTCGCGCAAATCCCACCACAATGGCTGCACCGACCTCTTCTCTCACGTGGCTGCTAGATTCCGGTGCATCCCACCACATCACCTCTGACTTGTCGGCATTATCCCTTCACACTCCTTACTCCGGTGGTGAAGACGTTGAGCCTGGAGACGGCTCCACTCATGCTATCTCTCATACGGGTTCTATGTCCTTCCCTTTGTTTTCCAAACGTCTTACTCTCGCCAATGTTTTATGTGTTCCCTCTCTTCGTAAAAACCTTATCTCCATCCACCAATTATGTACCACTAACAAGGTCTCGGTGGAATTCTTTCCTTTGCATTTTCAGGTAAAGGATCTCGTGACGGGGGCGCTAATCACAACCGGACCTCTTAAAGACGGTGTCTATGAGTGGCCCATGGCTCCTTTTCCCCTTTCGGTCTCTTCTCCTCAAGCATTTTCTACAATAAAAACGAGTTTTTTGGATTGGCGTTCTCGGTTGGGACATCCGTCCTCCGATGTTCTCAATCGAGTAATCCAAGAATTCTCTCTTCCCTTGTCGTCTTCCTCTTCAAAGTCTTTGTTATGTGAACCATGTTCGATCAATAAAAGTCATAAGTTGCCTTTCTCTACATCTACTCTTCATTCTACTTGCCCTCCCGAAATCATTTTCTCCGATGTCTGGACTTCTCCCGTAACATCCATTGATGGTCTCAAATATTATGTCATTTTTGTAAACCATCATACACATTACACATGGTTCTATCCATTGCACCGAAAATCCCAAGTCCTTGATGTCTTTCCACATTTCAAAGCCCTCGTTGAGAATCGTTTCTCCATAAAAACCCAAACCCTTTATTCGGATAATGGAGGTGAATACATTGCCCTTCGGTCCTTTCTCGCTTCTCATGGTATAACTCACCTCACAACACCTCCTCACACACCCGAGCACAATGGAATCTCGGAAAGAAAGCACCGGCATATTGTATGAGATTCAAGTCATGACTCTGTCCATGTGACAATCTCATGCGGGTCATCCAGTCACTCGTTCATAACGAGTACCCATGATTGTGATCTACATCCTACGCGTTGATCACACCTCATGCTAGTCTTCATTCAACATTGTTCCCACAATGATGACTGACTAGGGAGTTTAGAATCATTCTCTAATGATTCAAGGATGCCGAAATACAACAAACATGCTAATCGTATAACGGATAAATAATGCATTCATAAATCAATGAATCAATACAAAGTGAAATGTCATATCATGGATCATCCTAGAGCATTACAACCAACATCTTGATCATGAAGACCTCATTGATCTTGTGTTGTCCGGACTCAGTGATGAATACAAGCCCGTGATCGATGCAATCAATGCCAAAGCGACATTCCTATCTCGTTTATCGAGTTACACGAGAAGCTGCTCAATCATGAGTCAGTTCTCATGACCGCTGATCATGCTCCTTCTGTCTTCCCAATCTCGGCCAACAACACTCAAACGAGGAACTCTACTCCAGCCTATCGGCCGAATTGGCAGACTCAGTCATCCCAGCAAACCCAAAATCGGAAAGGCACCGGCTATCAGGGCAAGTGCCAGCTTTGTGGTACGTTTGGCCATAGCGCCAAACGATGCCACCTTCTTCCTCCCGGTGCTGTGATCAACAACAACCATGCACCATCATCGCCATCCTCTTGGCAACCTCGCGCAAATCCCACCACAATGGCTGCACCGACCTCTTCTCTCACGTGGCTGCTAGATTCCGGTGCATCCCACCACATCACCTCTGACTTGTCGGCATTATCCCTTCACACTCCTTACTCCGGTGGTGAAGACGTTGAGCCTGGAGACGGCTCCACTCATGCTATCTCTCATACGGGTTCTATGTCCTTCCCTTTGTTTTCCAAATGTCTTACTCTCGCCAATGTTTTATGTGTTCCTTCTCTTCGTAAAAACCTTATCTCCA